GATATATCTGCCCCGTGCTGATTCATGCAAATATATTGCTGATTTGTTTCTTATTAATCAACTGCCCTGATGCAACTTCATAGTCATTCAGAACATCCATAATTAGCCTCAAGGAAATAGTATCAGATGAAGAGAGAAAATGATAGTATCATCAGCATAAGCTAGATGATTGATCTTACGGCTCCATTTTAGGCATTCCAAATCCTTTTAAACTGCCTGTTACTGTGAAGTGCATTCAAGTCCTTGACATAGCTTCTGCTGCTAATATGAACAAAGTAGGTGATAAAGGATCACCCCTGCTTCACACCTCTAGTAGATCTGAAAAAACCATTAGGCTGGCCGATTAATTAGTCTGTAATACCGGTTGTTAGATACAATTCAAATATCAAAAACAATAAACCTTTCACCAAATTCCATCCTTCTTAAGACCTTTGATAGAAATATCCAGGAAAGTCTATCATAAGCCTTCATCATGTCCAGCTTTAAAACAACATTAGGTCCTGCTTTGGTTTCTTAGTCTAATATCAGTCACTAATCTCTTGAGTTAATAAAATATTCTCCACTATGCTTCTTCCCTTTGACAAAGCCAGCTTGCTCATCAGAGATCAAAATTAGGTAGCATCTCCACTAGTCTTTCATGAATTACTCTAGAAAAAACTTTATTGATAAAATACTGAGACTGATTGGTCTCATGTCAGAATATGTTTCCACCTATTTCTTCTTTTGGCAACAACACCATATTTATGTGTTATTACCTAGGTAATTCAATGACCATTGTAGAAGGCCTGCACCATAGCTACAACATCTTCCTTTAATTATGTCCAACTGCAGTGATAGATGCACCTGTAAAACCATCAGGACCCCCTGCACTCTCACCACTTAACCCCATAACTGCATATTTGATCTCCTCCTCTGTAGGCTGCTGAATCAGCTTAGTGTTCTGTACACTGTCTACTAGAGTAGGCACATACTCCAGAATCCTGAAGTTTGTAGGAATTGTACTCTCATGAAACTGATTTTGAAAGAATCTTACTGCCTCATCTGCCATATCTGCATTGTCCTCCAACCAGTTACCATCTGCATCTTTAATTCTGTTTAATTGTAGTCTCTTTCTCCTACCATTAACCTGTGCATGGAAAAACTTTGTATTCCTATCACCATCCTGGAACCAGTTCATGCCAGCCTTCTGCTTCCAAAACTCTTCTTCAATAGTTAGATATCTAATTAGATCAGCTTGCACCTTCTGTAATCTTTGTCTGCTTTGAAGTGTAGGGTTTCTTTCAAATTCAGCCTCATGGACAATTACCACCTCTTCTAAACTTGCAATTTTTTGAAATATATCCCCATAGGTGTTCCTGCTCCAAGCTGACAGGGCCTTCTTTAGTTTCTTCAACTTCTGATTAAACATGTAGAAAGGGTCTCCAGAAAAGTCTATTCTCCAGTTATCTTTGACCACAGTCTTAAATGTAGGATGCTTTATCCAAAAATTAAGGAATTTGAAAGCCTTCTTGATTGGAATTGCATCTGTCTTACATGTTAAGAACAAAGGACTATGGTCTGATCCTGTTTTGGATAAATGATTGACCTCTATAGTAGGAAACATCTCTTGAAATTCAATATTTGCAAGACATCTGTCAAGCCTCTTAAAGATACAATCCTCCCCAGCTCTCCCATTCCACCAAGTGAATATGCTGCCTTTAAAGCCTAAATCTGTGAGGTTACAAGTATTAACACAATGTCTAAAATCAGTAACCTCATTTAGTGATACTGGTAGCCCCCCAAATTTCTCCTCTTCATCCATTATAACATTGAAATCCCCTGCTACAAGCCAAGGACTTGTCATGTCTCTAGCCAAATAATACATGCTGTCCCACAATTCAATCCTTTCAATAGGATCACACTTAGCATACACAATAGTGATAATGTAAGAGTTCTGTGTATCCATATTTGTCGACTTCATAGTAATCTGTTGTTCTGAGTTGATCAACACATCCACCCCATGATCTTCATCTACAAATACCCATATCTTATTTGATACATTAGAAAAAGCTTGAACAAAGCCAATTTTCCTCCTGTATCTTTCCAACTTCCTAGGATCCCGCATTGGTTCCATGATTCCAATTACTTGACAGTGATGTTGCCTTTGCATGTTGACAAGTCTTTCAAAGGCTTTTTTTGTATTCACTGATCTCACATTCCATATAATAGCATTCATCATTTAGTTGTGAGATTTAGATAGGGTCCTTCTTGTTTGGACCCCAGGAGCTATACTTTGTGATTCTCTCTGGATCTTCTTTTTACCTCTACCTGCAGATTTCCTATGTCCATGTGCCTAGGTGATAGATCTCCTTGTCTTGCCACTTTCTGAAAATTTTGGGTAGTAGATTCTTCATCCAAATCTTTCCCTATTGATTTAACTAAATCTGTTGCTACCAATGTAACCCTTGGTTCTACCAATTGATTCTGAAAATCCTCCTTCCCCACTAATGCATTACCCTTGTCTTGATCTTTGTGTACCAATTGTGTTGATTGTATGTCACCTTTAGCTGGAGCCATATCACATGACTGAATAGAAGTTAATACACCTATATTCTCAACTCTAACTTCATGCTGCATTTCTGTCAATTGCAATTCTTTGGATTTATCTGGAGGCACATCCGTATGAATCAGTTGTGCTCCATCTCCATCCATATTTGTTACAGGCCTATCACCCTGTTTCTGCTTGTCTTCATTGTTGTTTCCAACTGACTGTTGTCCTTTGTCATTGTTATTGACGCTTTGTTCTTCTTGATCTACCTCTTCATCTGATGATTCCACTTCTCCACATGCCCCTTCTGGCAGTTCCCCTTCATCTGAGTCCTCTTCTACTTGCTGACTCCATATTTTCCTCCCTTCTGCTTGTACCTCCTTAGTAGCATTGATATTTCTCAAAGTTGCATCAATCTCAGCTGCCTGAGATGGAACTTCCTGACAAGACTGATTAGTGGCTACAGTATTAGCATTGAAAGCTCTATTAACCCAGGCTACTGTTGAATCTTTTTGATTGTCTTCCACCATTTCATTATTCTTGCTATTGTGCTTCTCAGTATCTTCCTTATTTGTTGTACTTCCAATTACAGTAGATTTTGGAGTAAATATTGCTGCTGTATGATTTAGTTTCTTGGTAGAATTAACAGTGCTTTTATTTCCAACTTCCACTATTTGATTTATCCCTGCATCATCATCCTCCTGGACCTCCAATACAGCAAACCTGTTAGAAGTTTGAATTTGCTGATTATTTGAACCATCTGCCACCACTTCCTCCCTTGTAATACCATTACTTTGTTGCACATTAATGTTTGCTGGAGTATTTTCCTTTCCTGATCCTCCACAATTATGAGCTTGCATTACATTGTTAACATTTGCCAGAACAATTTCTTGCCCACCCTGTCTATGAGTAATCACCTCCTCCACCTGCTTCCCCTGAATCTGCTGTAAGTTTGCTTGATTTATTGGTACTATTTCCTTTCCATTAACTTCCTGGGTGCTGTTTTTCTTCCCTCGATTATCTCTCACTTCTTTCCATTGTTCTACATTAGAAATCACATTACCTACAACTCTACCACTTGACAAAATCATCAATGGTTGATTAGTTTGCTTCTGAATCTGCTCCTTACCTTTAGTTTCCTTCTGTTTTCCTTGATCATAAGGTGATAATTCAGGATGTTGCCTCCAGCATTCAAAGTCATCATGCCCTTGTAATCTACATGCTTTGCAATACTTAGGCAACATATCATATTTGATAGTTACCCATTCTGTTCTAACTTCCCCTGTAGCTTCATTCACAATGTCCATTCTAACCTTTTTAGGATGATCAGCTAAGAGATCTACCAAAACTTTGACCCTAGCACAACTAGGTCTAGTCTTATTGATAGTAGCCATATCTAAGTGCAATGGCTTTCCCACAGCTGATGCAAGTGAAAATAGACACTCTTTCACAAAGTAAGTAGGTAACAAGCCTGGGAAAGAAATCCAAGCCATAGCCATTGGAGTCTCCTCACCTACTTTAAATTTAACATCATAAATTAGAGGTCTAATTTGATACTCATGACCATGCTTGTCTTTAATATATTGTGTACCTTTAGAAGTAAAATCAACAAAATCTTGCCACAATGTCATACGAATAAGAACATGCCTATCTCGTAGGTACCCAATATTACATTCACCCTTTATTCCACATTGCATGGGGACAATTCGTCTAATTTCACTCAATTCTGGCCAACCATAGGAAAATTTTCCAACTACAGCATATTGAAGGCCCTCAATAACATTCATTCTATCTACCTCTGCTTCCGTAAATTTTACCAATGGTTGCCCATTGACAAAATCTACTCGACGTAATAAAATAGGCTCCACAGTAGACGCACGTTCTTGCATGGCAGTGTTCTTCGAGTTTTGCACTGCTTTGGCGTAATTCATTGGTACAGTGTTCTCGTTAGGCAAATTGTAGGGATGCGCAGTGTTGTTTGTTGTCGCTGGGGGCTGGGTAACGGTGGGTGGGGGTTGGGGAGGCAGCCCAGCCATCGTTGGTGGCTGGCCGCCGGCCACAGTGGCCATGGCTACCGGAATTCGAGCTTTCTCTCTCTAAAATAGAAAAATCGCCTATTTCTAGAGAGAAGGCAGAGAGAATCAGTTTGGGGTTTTTTTTTTTTTAAGCAATCCACTAGGCATAGCCTAGGGCTAGTTTTTATTTATATAAGTACGAAAACAAATAAAATGTCATGAAATCCTAACAAGTGTACGAAATAAAATAACTTCTACATAATTCCTATTATCAAAATTGAGTAATATGCTCAAAATTGATATCACAATAAATCTATCAAAAATTTGTATCAAAACTAGCCCATGAAAATAAATCGCAGCTTCCCAATCCTCAAAGCCCATGTGAATTAGCCAAAAAGAGACCTCCATAATTGTTGCATTTACGGCCAGCCCATAAAACACATCAGATTTGCACAAATAGCGTCCAAATTGCACATCCAGCCTCAACTCATGAATTGCAGAAATAGCCATGTCTTCCCTAATTCTTGCAAGTACAACCAGTCCAGTAACGCCTAGGATTTGCACAAATAGCCTCGAAATTGCACAACCAGCCTTAATAATTGCTGATTTGCAACTAGCCCATGAAGTGACTAATTCCAGCACTCCAACAGCCCAGTCCGTATACCCTCTCCCTTTCAACATTATTTCCAGGCCCAAATGTAAGCCCAGACCATCAGCAGTTCCTTTTTGCATAAATAATCCCAGCTTAGCCCCATTTACCAAATCTATTATTTGCACAAGTAACCCCATTACACTATACTTTCCTATTTTATATCTATATCCTAATTTGCACCGACACTCAGCCCCTTCACTCTCTATCCAACCACTTCTCTCTCTATCCAACCTAGAAGACATCGAATCCCTGTCTTCCTCTTCATTTCTGCTCCCAAAGTCCCTAAATCTTCCATCTCTCAGCTGAATCGATAAAGATTCAGATGCTAAAATCATCTTCTTATTGATTCGCCTGCTTAGCCCTTGAAGATTAACTCCCCCAATCATTTCTGTTGTTCTATTTTGCTGAGGATGCAACCCTTCATTCATCTGCTTCTGTCTGCATCTCATAAAGGTAACCTCACTCCCTTGTAATTTCTCTTCAATTTCTGTTTTGTCTGCTGCATTTTTGTACCACCTATCCTTACACCCGACATTTGTTATTCGATTCTTCTTGCATGTTGCTGATATCAATTGCTCCGTTCTGCTGGACTGGCATTGCTCGTTAGTACGACTTCTCATAACTGCTGCACTATTCTTGAGGGCCCTGTGCTGACCAAATTCAGATGAACTGTCCTCGACTGCTGAAATACTCTGCTTTGACCTGGTGAAGATGCTTGTGAATGTTCCAATTGAGTGTGTAACCTTTCTAAACTTGTAGTACTTTGTAGGACAAATACATATATGTAATGTTTTTAATTGTTCCCTGTGATTAGCTATTTTATTGTGTTTGTGCATCATCCAGCTAGCTTCTCTTGAGAAGAGAAGTGTGCTGTCCGCAGGCTTTGTGTCCAAGTGACACCAATGCTTAGCTTGCTGTCTTTGTATCACTTCATTGTGAACGTAATGTCCTGCTCTCTTGGGTGATATTTTACAATTATGTCCACAATTGTCTATGCTAGTTATTGCAACTGCTCCTGTTACCTTTCTATATTCTATGTTTAAGTTCACCCCGATGGATTGAGTACGAAGTACTAATACCACCACCTGGGGATTCCTTATAACATAGAATATAGCTAGGATTGCTGACATTGTGTGATTCCATGACTTTGTATGCATTGCTTCTGTTGTACTTGGTGATATATGACCTCTTGTGTCTTCCCTTGAATTCCCCTCATTGATTTGAGTACACTGTACTCGTACCACAGAGTAAGGGTTGTCCAAGAAAAGGCCACCAGAACTACTGTTCTTCCTCTCCTCCATAAGGATTTGAGGATACTGTCTGTATGTCCATGCCTGATTCCATGTATACCATTTTCCATCTTGCTGCTGATTTTGCCCACTTCTCTTAGACATTCTGGGCAATTTTCTTAAACTTGAGTGTGTTCTTTGATAAGAATTTATGTATGCCATGTTTGCATCTCCTAGGGATTGAGTATAAAATACTAATACCACCCTTAAGAAATGGAGAACATAGCATAGCATAAATATCCAGCTCCTACCTGCAAAAAAGAAACCAATGTTAGTAATAAACAGTATCACCATACTCTCCTCTACATAGATTTGAGCATGATGATTCCCCTGCTTAACTCCTTTGCTTAACCCTGGCTTCACATTCTCCCCCAAACTCAAATTTGCTCTTATTAGAATCCCCAGTAACATAGATTAACTGGTACATCTTCACTTCTATTTACTTCTGACTATCTCTTTGCAACTGAGACTCTAATGTATGGGCATTGAAGTTTGTCTGAATTCACCAGCTTTCTACCCTGCACATCCAGCTCCTTAAATCCATGACATTCCATAGGGGCAATGTCCAGGGCATAGTTAGCAATATGATCTGCTAACTTGTTTCCTTCTCTGAGAGTGTGAGAAAGTTTGACATTGGCCCTCTTCATTAATTCTGCAATCTCTTCCACCACCCTTCCTATAACCCAAGGAGGCTTCCATTCTCCTGTAATTGCCTTCTTCAATACCATAGAG